ACACAAGCATCATAAAGTCACCCTAGGGCATCCAGGCACCAGCCTCGTGCCTTTCTATTCTCCTTCTCTCAGCTCCAGAGAACATGGCAACACTGGGCTTATCCAAGCACCTGTGAAACAACCCCGATCTCCCAGGATGGATTCCCTTCACACAAGCTCTTCCATCACTCCCCTACAACAGCCTCAACACCTGTAGCACAGCTGTTCCTTTTGATGTCTACTTGAAGCCATGGGAAGCTCCTCTGTCATCCAATTGCCAGGATAAATATTCCATTGATACTGCTCTGCAATTCTTTTGATCTGTGCTCTTCTCTTTTCCTCACAAGCACTTCAAAACAAGACTTGCAAAATGTCTTCTTTGCACAGCCCTTCTTTGCACAAGGCAGCCAACAAGTTCTTCCTTCAGCTTCTGGTTTCCAAAAGAATTCAACTCTTACATTTCTGTCTTACACATTTAACTAATGCCTGCCTTCTCTCCCCTTCTCTCATATTTTACCTCTTACATTCCTTTTCTGCCCTCCAAACATTTCAGCAGGCCACCTCTGCCAATTCTTCTGCTTAGCAAGGATTTTCTTTTCTTGAGTTTAAAACTCCACAGAGAGTTTTTCAACCTTATTCAAACAATATCAGCCTGCTAAACTTGAACAGAGTACACATGGCCAGGGACTCTTTAGGAGAGCAGCCATTCACAAGGGATGCAGTGACAGGACACGGGGGAATGGCCTTAAGGCAAAGCAGGGTGGCTTTGGGTGAGATATTGGGAAGAAATTCTTCCCTGGGAGGATGCTGAGGCCCTGGCACAGGTTGCCACACAGAAGCTGTGGCTGATCCGTTCTTGGGAATGCCCAAGGCCAGGTTGCATGGGGCTTGGAGCAATGTGGGCTAGTGCAAGGTGAAATCGGATATCTATAAGGTTCCCTCTAATCCAAACAATTTCACAATTTTATTATTAAATCTGTATTTGCAACAGACACAAACCACAGGCAAGGAAGAAAGAGAAACCTCTGTTTCAGCAATCAGAAGTCATGAACTTCCACACACCTTCCTCTCTTTTCCCTGTCCATTTTGAGCCTCCTTACCCTGCCAGTGTTCCACGGTCCTGCGCTGCGTTCATTCTCCTTGCCCCTGTGAAGTGGAGGTATTGGGCAAGACTCTGCTGCAAGTGTGGGCATCTCAGGTCCAGACACAGAATTGTCCTCAAATACAGAACAACTTCGAGCTCTTGGAAGCTGTCGAGAGCCCTGAGGCTGGGAGCTTCTGTTTGGCTTCATGACTATAAACAAGAAGATTTATGTCAATTAACCTTCAACTGCCACATTGGATTGCAAATCTCACTATAAAGAGATTGAGCTCCTCCAAGAACAGGTTTTTTAGCTCTTTAATGTACCTTTAATTGCATCTCCAACACGACTGATGGGGACTCTCCTCCCTCTGCATTTGAGTTCTGCCAAAGAAATTCTCTGAGGCTCTGCAACTTCCAGCAATCCCATATTGTCTCCATCAGGAGTATCCTCAAGTGCCAGTAATGTCTGCCGAGAAACACGGGCCTGAAACTGCCTAGAAAAAAACCATTGGAGAAGTCAGCATAGCCTTCCCCATCCCAGGAAGCCAGGTGAGCACCTAAGCTCTTCCCTTACTTGTGATGAGCCTGGAGTTTGTCCAAAGGCTCAGCCTTGCGCTGGAGTCCTTGCTGGAATATCAGATCAGCTTTCCTGAAGCTGCCCCTGGCCTCGAGTGCCTCTGCCCAGGTGATGTAGAGCGCGGCCAGCGCGGTGCCGATCTCCTGGCTCCACAGGTAACTGTACAGATCCAAGGGCTCGTTGCAGCAGTCGCCCTGCAATGACCCAAGCATGTCGGTGATCACTGCAGGGGCTCACAGGCAAAATCTGCATTTCAATACCTCCAGCAAGATCCCCATGATTTCAGTACAACTCTGACAGGAACAGCTCCAAGGCCAATACACAGAATTTGATCATTTCTTATTTGAATGTGAGGTAATTCAATGATTGAATTGCACCATATTAGTATTGCTGAGAATGAACAGATATTTTCGCTTCAGATGAAGTACAGCATATTCCTTGCCACTTTTAGAACTGGTAGATTACCTCAGCAAGCTAAAGATGGGGAAAAGCTGCTTTGTAAAGCAACTGACAACAAAAATTACAGGACAGGACCAGAACACTTAGCATGCTTTGGAGTTTAAAAAGATGCGGATAGAATACAGCTAGAAGCTCAACTATCTGGTAGGACAGATATATTTTAGATGTTGTATCTTTAAATCGCTTCTCTCTCTCCTTAAATAAATAGTTGAACTCTATTCAAGGCAGTTTTCTCAAAACAAAAACTTCTAGAGTTTGTAGCTGTCCAAAGTGAACAACCCTAAAAAACAGTCTGGAAATGAGAAGCAGAATTCAAGAGTAACATTTGCAGAAAAATACATCCAATATTGCACTCATTGTTGTGAAAATGCATGTATTTTATGATTGGCTTTTTGCAAATATTAAAATTAATATTATATGTGTTGTGTTAGAAAGTAATGCTGTACTAATTTTCTTAAGTACTATGTTAAAAATAGCTTTCGGTTATAAAAATAGAAACTATGCTATGTAAGATGCTTTGTTTAACAGAAAGGGCTTGCAGCGAGATGGCAGCCACAGGACACCTAAATCTTTCAGAGAAAGGGGATTTATTGCCCTCTTATCAGAAGAAACGAACTTCTTCCCGCCTTGGAGGTGCTGTTGGGATTAGAAGGAAGAAATTGACACTGACCAGACAGAATCCTGTGTTTGAATGGAATTTATGCATCATGTATGAGGTGTATGAATATGGAACAAGCTATTGTTCTTAAGGGTTAATCCTCTGTTAACAGGTGCCCTTTTTCGGGCTCGTGATGCCCAGGAAAAACCCAGACGTCCATAACTCTTTGTATTTATTGTCTCATATTGTCCTAATTCAATTTATCCAAATTGTTATTACTCTAATTGTGTTACTATTTTTATAACCATTTTATTACTATTAGACTTTTAAAATTTTAAAACCAACTCATTGGCGTTTTTCACACTGTACAACACTGTTTGCCTCCTGTCACCAGAATCAACTTAGCTGTGTGCAGAGAACAGGAAAAGGTCCCAAGGAAAAGCAGCAGCCGAGAGATGTTCCCAAAGCACTCACAAACTTGAGCCAGAGATTCAGATAGCGAGGATCTCTGTAGTATCGCTGCTGCCCGTGCAGGGCTTGCACTGCCCTTTCCAGAAGTGCAGCCAGGTTGCCATCCTTGCCACCCCCAGGGAAGGCCTGCTCTATCCACTTGATGTACCTAGAGACAGAATGTGTTCAGAGCGAGTCAGTTCTTAATAAGCATCTCTAAAATATAAAGAGATTAAGAAAAAAATAGGCATAACATTGAAACACAATATAATAACTAAAAACAATCATAAAACTTAGCTTTCAATGAGTTTCTTATTAAATTAGAATGTGTTTTCCTTGCTTCTGCAAGGATATGTGAGCATTTAACTCTTTTTTCTGAAATAAAGAAAAACTTACCGTTCCCACACATCCAGAGGATCATCTCCAGAGTAAAATCGTATTTCTGCTTCAAACTCCCTAAAACATAATATTATTCATCCAATAAATACATTTGTATCACTCTAAGTTGATCTTGTATATTACAAATTAAGAGTTAATTATTAATTAAAAAGCACAGCCAAATCTCTCTGGTGTTTGCTGTTCAAATGCTCCATTGCAAAATGGAAAAGTTGAAGTCTGTACTACACAACACCTGCACTGAGTAGTTCTAAAATCCTAGAGCAAGTTAGTAAGACAGATATTAATTACTAAACTTCTTTTATGCCTTTTTTAATGCCTGTGAGATCAGTACAGTTAAAGAAGATATACATAGAATGAGGAGGGAGGAAGATAAGGGAAAAGGAGGTGTTCTAACAATCACTTACTGTTTTTTAAGCTGCAGAGCAGTGTGGCTGGAAGAGTCCTGCTGAGACAGTGCCTCTTGCAAGCTGGACATCACCCGTCCCTGCCGGAGGGGCTGCACATTCTCCTTGCTCAGCTCCCACTCGTGGCTGTCCTCCTGGGACATGACCACCTTTCCTCCAACCCTGAACGCTTCTCCTTTAATCCTGCACTTAAAAAGAAATGGACACCTGTACAGCTGGGTACTGACCTGAAACCTGACAGAGACTGCTTTCCTAAGCCCATTCACCCCAAATTTCTGTGCAGCCAGAACACACCACTTAGATACCCAACTTTTAG